GTCCCCAGTATCCCTTCTACCACCCCCACCCTCGCCAACTCCCTGCCTCTGTGGCAGGCAGTTTCCTTCTTTCTACTTTGAGACGTTATGGTTTACATACTGTGAGACCATCATGTTTGGTCCTTTGTCTACTTTCATCAAACATCTCCCATCCCAAGCAGAGATGTGCATTTCTAACCAGGTGCTGAGTGATGGCTCATGAAGCACCCTTCTAGACCCTTGCAGACCCCCAACACCGGCACTCCCTGGGGGCTTGTGAGAGGAAGAATCTCTGAGACCCTGAGTCTGTGTGGGGGTCTGACTCGCACCCAGGTTATTCCCTGAGACAGGAAAGGTTGAGAAGCGCTCTCCTGGAGTGTGAGAGCTGAACTGGGAGGGAGGGGGGGCTGGGCAGGGGGCTTCACACCCACCTCTTCATCCCTGCTCCAGCCCTGCCCGCCCTCTCCCACGGGGAAGGAAAACCCCAGGAGAAGCAACAGAAGATGCTTCTATGAATGTGCTGGGAAACTCTTGAGCTGGCAGCAGAACTGGGCACAGAGAGTCCTGGCCTGGCAGGGCTGGCCAGGGAAGGGGGGAGCAGCCTGGAAGTGCAGCCAACAGCAGACGCGCAGCCAACCGGGTCCCGGTGGGGGGGACCACAGCGGGGACCAGCTCCAGAGGTTTCAGATTCACGCTGCTGCAGGCCTGGGGCCAAGCCAGTCTGGGCAGCTCCACAACACATTCTACGGGAAGGAGGGAAGCGAGAAGGGGGGGGCGAGATGGGACCCGTGAGACAGTACAGCGGGTAGGCACTTGCCATGCACACGGCGGGCTTGGCACCCCACAGGGTACCCCCAGCCCTGCCAGGAGTTATCCCTAAGCACAGAGCTAGGAGAAAGCCCTGAGCACTGTGGGGTGTGGCTCTCCCGCAACGAAAAAAAAAAAAAAAAAAAAGAGGGGAAAAAAGGCAAGTCTTTCTAAACCAGCTATCTTCTGTAAAAATGTGTGCAGGCTTGGGGCTGGAGAGATAGCACACCAGGTAGGGCGTTTGCCTTGCACACGGCCAACCTGGGTTCGATTCCCAGCATCCCATATTCCCAGTTATCCCCTGAGCACCGCCAGGAGTAACTCCTGAGTGCAGAGCCAGGAGTAACCCCTGTGCATCGCCAGGTGTGACCCAAAAAAGTCTGCAGGCTTAAACTTAGACTTTAAAATGTCTGCAGGCTTAAACTTAGACTTTAGCTAGCACTGTTCCAGGGAGTCAGTTTCCTCGGGGGCCCGTGGGAGACCCCTCATTAACTGCAAGCCCTCCCCTCTTTTTTTTTAATTTTCAGAAAGTTGTTCACAATAATGGATTATATTCAGTATTTCACCACGAGTCCCACCACCATTACACCTTCCTTCCCACCGCCATGATTTTGAATTTTCCCATCACTACCCAAACCTGCAGAAAAGGCAGATGCTAGATAATTTATTTTCTATTGCTTGTTATGACTAGCATAAGACATAGCTCTTGCAGCCACGCACTCTCAGAATTCTAAAATTTTAGATAATTACGGTCTGGAGACATCTCTGCAGCAAGCTGCTCGGTTTGGAGATTCTTTTGTGTGTCTCTGGATCGTGGCCATTAAGGAGCAGTTTGTGGGCATGACCTCCAGGGTCCCATGGGGATGGGGGGCGGGGGCTTGAGAGGGACCAGCCCATCCCCTATCGCTTGAGGCCTGGAGTTTGTCGTCGCTGAACCCACGTACTGGCGTTTCTCATTGGGTTCTGGAAGTTGGCGGCTGCCAGGATTTTTTGGGGGAGGTAGAGGAATAAAGCCTGCTCCCGTCTGAGGCACCCTGGTGAAGGCGGCCTAGGCCCTCCCCTTCCAATCCAACACACAGCCCAGCTGCCCACCAGTGCCAGGAACATGCCATCTCTGTAGCCCACTAGGACACGCCAACACCAGGCCAGATGGGGACTCTGGACTCATAGGCTCGGTGTGTTTCACCCAAGCCCCACCCTGAGGCTGTGTGGGTGCCTTGTGGAGTCACACCTGTTTCCAGAGATGCACTGAGGTGCTCACCTGTGGGAGGAGGGTCTGGGATCTCTGCTGACACTTACCTAGCAGATCAGGTGGTCGTCCTTGCTAGAACACCAGGGCTAGCCTTAAAAACTCAGATTTCAATACCCCATTGAAGACACCTGACAGGATAGATAGATAGATAGATAGATAGATAGATAGATAGATAGATAGATAGACAGATAGATATATAGATATATATGTGTGTGTGGATGCTCACTGAGCACTTATCACATGGCCAAGGCAACTCCCAGGGAGCGGAACAGGCCCCTGGCACAATTTGGACTCTTCCTTCTCCCTCCCTCAGCACTGTAGCACTGTCCTCCCACTGTTCATCGATTTGCTCGAGCGGGCCCAGTAATGTCTCCATAGTGAGACTTGTTGTTACTGTGTTTGGCATATTGAATACGTCATGAGGAGCTTGCCAGGTTTTGGCATGCGGGCAAGATACTCTCGGTAGCTTGCTGGGCTCTCTGAGAGGGGTGGAAGAATCGAACCCGGCTCGGCCGGGTCGGCCACGCGCAAGGCAAATACCTTACCTGCTGTGCTATCTCTCCAGAGGGAAAAAAATTGATCACAGCACCCAAAGAACCAACTGAGTAAGTATGCAAGTGCTATATGAAGAAACCATCTTCAGGATATGGTGGGGCACCTTCTGGACACACAGCTACAAGCGGGATTTTAAAAAGGCCCAGGATTCTCTGGGGAGTGGGTGTGACAACACACTGAGGTTCTCAGGAGTGGCCCCCAGGGGTGCCCCCAGGAGCACAGGGCCTCTGCACCCAGGCCTTCGGCCTCTCCTGGCCCAGGGCCAGAGTTTGATGGAGAAGCACAAGCCCAGAGCAGAAAAGGGGCCGGAGGCGGAGGCTGGATCACGGCTAAGGCTGTGGAGACACTCAACAGAGCAACCACTTCCCAGGGGTGTGTGTGTGTGTGTGTGTGTGTGTGTGTGTGTGTGTGTGTGTGTGTGTGTGTGTGTGTGTTGGGTGTTTCTCCAGTGGAAATCAGAGAGGAGAGGAAAGAGGCAAATACGGCTTCAAATAAAGCTCCGGTTCCCCATGCCGGATGGAGGAAGCTCTCCTGCTGCACCCCTCCAGGAAGCACAGAAGGAGGAGGATCAGGAGCAGAGAAGGGAGGGGAGGGGGGATACGGTATCTTCTTTCCACACAAGCTCAGGACAAATTCACACCCTGCCATGGGTCACCGGTTCCATCAGAGGTAAAAGCTTCATCCTTGGGTGTGGTTTCCAGTATTACAGTGAGAATACATATGTGGGATACAAAGAAACTTTGTAGAGGAATATCGAGGACCTGATGGCAACAGAAATGAGGAGCTGGAAAGGAGTCTTCAGCAGGAAGCCTGGCGCTGAGGCAGGGGTGAGGGGGTAAGTCAGGGAAACAGACACCAGGACAATGAGGGAGAGGGGGGGTGGGAGGGAAAGTGGGGACACTGGTGGAGGGTAGTGGGCACTGGTGAAGAGACTGGTGTTGGAACAATGTACACTCTAAAAACCAATCATAAATATCTTTGTAACTTTGTAATTCAGTGACTCAATTAAATAATAAGAATGGAACAAATGAAAAAAATGTTTTAGAGAGGTCAACATGAGATCGGTGGAGGCATAAGCTGGTTCCGTCAGGTTTCTTTCCTGAACTCCCTCTCACTAGGAGCAACCCCACCACCACCCCAGTCTGTGAGACCCACCCCCCAGGGGTACAGGTTATTGGTGTTTCGCGGATAAGAAGGGGCTGGTTCACTTTCCCCAGCAGCTGGGAGGGAAGGGTGTCTCCAACCCAGATGGCTGCACTTGGGGTGCCGCCCAGGTCAAGGACAGGTACAGGTCAGTGGCAGGAGTTAGGACACACCTTCTGGTGTGACTGAGAAGACCCCAGGGCAACTGTCGTACCATAAAGAATCTGTCTGGTCACTGTGGACATTCCAGGGGGAGCTGAGCATCTCGGTGACTCCTGAGCTGCACCTGAGTTCACCACGACTCAGGACAGCCTGACATCCGGCCCACTTTCCCCGGGGATGGGGATGCTCCTGGAGCCGGACTTCAAGCATACGGTCCCTGTGTCCGTAGACCAAGATCTATCCAAGCTGGTACTGGGACAGTGGGGGTCCTGGCGGACCCGAGGACCCTGGAGCTCAGGCCTGACCCTGCGTCGCTCCTCTTGGTGAGATCTGATCTGTGTCCTTTACAATGAATAACTGTCATGGGGAGAGTAGTGGCCCCCTGAGTTCTGGGACAATGTTATCATAGCAAATGAATCTACGGGAACTGCAAACTCCCCCCCATCCCACATACACCACCAAATCTGGAATTGGTTAGTGAGAAATGCAATGGGCCCGGGGACCCCCTGCATTGAGAACTGCATGCCTATACAATGATGTTGCGTCTACACCATCTCCGGCCTATGGCCCTGCACTCCCCAGGGCTTTCCATCTCCTTTACCTGGCCTCTCCCCATGTCCACTTACAGCCCAATTTCCTCTAAAGTCAGGGGGGTGGTGACAGCCAATCCAGGCACACAGAAACTGCCCAAGGAACATACTCAATCTGGAGCTACAGCCCTGCGAAATCGAGGCAAAGCAGGACCACTCTCTGGTGGGTGTGTGGCTTCAGGCAAGTTCCCACTCCTCTCTGAGTGCCCATCACTTGGGGGAAGGGCACTGCCTGGCCCCCTAGAGCCCACAGGACAATTCACTTATGTGACCCTATTTTATTTACAAATAGCCTCGTGTGGCCTCTTGCTTCGGGCAGGCATCAGGACACAGCCTACACCCTCCCGTCATCACACTTCCCTGGTACCCCCTCCCCAATCTCTGTTCTCCCTGGGGAACTGCTCTGGGTGCTGACCACCTCCCCCCCGACCCCCGCTGGCGACATGCTGATGATCCCAGAGAGGCAGGAAATCAACCGTTACACCCCAAGTGAAAAGCACGCAACCATTACCTTGAACCAAAAGGACATTTATATTTACTCTGTTGGCTATAAAAGACACCATAAAATAGAATATGCAGCAGGCATTTTCATGATTAATAACAGATCTTGAAAATCACTCTCTCGGGTCCCCGGGTGCCTCTGACTGGTCACTAAGAACCAAGAATTCTTTCAGGAAATAACGGAAGTGCAAATCATCTCTGGGCAGTGGGAAATCTGCCTCCTGTGTTAGGAACAGGTGTGGGGGGGGGAGGGGAGGGAGGAGTGCGGAGGGGGGACACAGGAAGATCAGAGAGACTCAAATATAATGACTGCCTGCGAGCACAAGGCGAGTGCCGGAACCTGCCAAATCTAGGGTGTGGGGGACCTGGAGAGGGCACGGGCACAGGAGTGTCCCGAGTCAGGAGCAGATGACGAAGTGGAAAGGGGCGGTGTGGGCAGGGGAAGGACAGTCAGTAAGAAGCCAGACTCAGATCCCTGAACCAACAACAACCACAGTCTCCTGGGTTGGGGTCACCAGCTAACCCTGGGAGCAAGGAGTAGAACAAGGCGGGTGCCAGATCATTCCCAAGATGAGCACCGGGCGTTAGCGCTCAGGGTCTTTGGCGCCGCATCACTGAATTCCTGGTCTCGGGCTCCCTGACTCCTCCAACCCAGGTCGGAGCCTTTGGAAGCAGGAAGCGGCTGCCCCGTGGAAAGGGGCGAGGTTTAGGGCACAAGAAGTCAGGCAGATGACAGTGGCAAACGGCAATCAGGTCCCTTTGCAGCTAGTAGCCAAAGGAAGGCTCCTGCCAAGAACAAAAATTCCACCAACCAAGCTCTGCTCGGCGACCCAGAAGGAGTTTCCATTAAAACACAGAACAAGTAACATCAATGGGGTCACCGTGATTGCAGTGATGGCGCAGCTGCTGCCCCTGTTGCCAAATCAGCCCTGCGGGTGGTGAGGGAGGGACACTGCCAGGGAGGGACAGAGCAAGTGGAGGCGCAGGTCATCAGTGAAAGTTACACCATGCTCCCCCGCAAGAGAACCAAACTTTTGATCCTTCCAAAGTACCTACAAAGGGGCTTGTGGATGGTTCTTGGTGCTGGGGGGGGGGGGGGTCACCCAGCCCAAAGGCACACCTGGGAGTGAGCAAACCCATCTCGCCTTCTCCCCCAGTGAGGGGAGAAACCAAGGGCTTGGGAAGACTGGTGGGGTGAGACCCCAGCTGTCCTGTGGGAGGGGAGTCTTGGGGGTGCAGCTTCAGAGCACCACCTGGCCCCAGGCCTCCAGGTCACCGGGGGAGAGTTGGGGACGCAGGAGTGAGGCGAGGAAAGAATCCGGGGGCCAGCAAGCCCACTCAGTGGGGTGCAGGACGTAGCCAGGAAAGCAGAGCCCGGAGGCAGCTGGCCAGCCTCAGCCCCTTCACATGCAGGACGAGTTCGTGGAGGCTGATCTGCCACAGGTGGAAGGCCTCGCTGAGGGAGATCTGGGCCCGCCTGAGGAGGGAACGGGCAGTCTTCATCCTGTGTCTACAGCAGGGGCAGGAAGGAGAGAAAGAGACAAGAAACGCTCAGCATCATTTAGGGAAGACGGAGAAAGTAGACACAAGCCACGTTACCCGGCCACACCACGGCCCCATCGGGGACCACGGATCTCAACTGTGACCGAGGAATTCTCCAAGGACGTGGGAAAGGCTGAGGGTCCCACTGGGCAGAATGTTCCAATGTTTCTCTTCTTCCCAAAGCCTAGGGTGTCTATACCAGTCCTACCAGTCCCAGTCCGGGATCCACAGAACTTTACATAGGGAAAGCCATCTCCAAACGTTGAGAGAGACAGTCACCCAGAAACCTGGCCAGGGGGTTCCAGGAGTTCAGTTCAGCTCAATCCCTCTTTTTTTTTTTGTAAATTTTTGCCTTTTGGGTCACACCCAGCTATGCACAGGGCTTACTCCTGGCTCATGCACTCAGGAATTATTCCTGGCAGTGCACAGGGGACCATATATGGGATGCTGGGAATCAAACCCGGGTTGGCCACATGCAAGGCAAATGCCCTACCTGCTGTGCTATCGCTCCAGCCCCTCAATTCCTCTTGCACCAACAAAAGGCCATGATGAAAGATGGTGTCTTGGTTTCTTGGGCCAGAACAACAGTACAGAAGGTAGGACACTTGTCTAGTATGTGGCTGACCTGGGTTCAATCCCCATTTACCCCATATGGTCCCCTAAGCCAGCCTGGAGTGATCCCTGAGCACAGAACCTAGGGTAAGCCCTGAGCACAGCTGGGCTGCTTTCTTTCATGTTGAACTGTTTGAAACTTCACTTCCTGCCCCCACCAGGGAAGAAGCAATCGTGCTGCATCCTGTCTGGGAGAGTGGAGGCCTGCCATATATACAGAATCGAACCTATTCAGAATCAAATGGGGAAGTGCCCGTTCCCTGTCTAGGACGGATGGGCCCAGTCCAGGGCAGAAGTCCCCAAACCTGATTTGACCTACCATCCCCTTCTGAAGGAAAATCCTTCGGTGCTCTGGAAATCTACCTTCTTTCAAAGAACAGAGACAAAGGACCCCCATTTGCACCGAGGGTACTCTGACCCCTGCTCATTCCCGTGTTCCTCCGAGGGGGCAGCATCGCCCCCTTTGAGGATGCCAGTGTGGGAGGAGAGTGTGCGTGCAGAGTGTGTGTCTGCCATGCAGGAGTCACCCTCAGGCTGAAGGGCCTAGAACCCTGCTCCTCCGTCCTACCTCCACGCATAGGGGCGACCTTGCCTTCCTCACCACCACCCAGGGGTGCAGAGGCAGCAAGAAGAGACCTGACCCCCTTTTTCGGCACTTGTCCTGAGGTCAGAGAGAAGACAGGCATCGGTTCCCGGCCTGGCCCTGAGACACGGGCGTACAGATGACTGTGCTGGGGGTCTCCGGGGACCTCTGAGACAGGGCTGAGACTCTAAGAAACATCTCAGACTTCACTGAGGCTCAGAAGGCCCGGATGGGGCACAGAGGACCGAGAATCCACTGTTTGACCAAACAGAGGTAACTCGTGGGAAGGCCCCACCACACTGTCCCAAAGCCCCCAGTGGCCCCAAGCATCAGAGTCCAGGATGCGTTCTGCCCTAAACTTCCTGCAGAGGCGCTAGTGCCCCTGGGAACTGGAGGGAGAGGGCGGAGGCCCACACTCACCTGGTCAACGCCCTCACGCAGCAGCGCGACATGTTCAGGAAGGAGCTGGCACTGGCACGGGTGCCCAGAGAGGCCTCAATGCCACGCAGCAAGTCGTTGGTCTTGAAGATGAGCAGCATCTGGCGTGGCACGTGGTTGAGCAGCTGGCTGATCTGGGGGAGGTAGTTGGCCGCGTGGCTGCGGATCTCCAAGTCCTGGAGCACAAGGAAGGAGAGAAGCGGGTGGTGGGTGCAGAGGGAAGGCTGGGGGTGTCCAGGCTGCCTGTGACCTGGGTGGGGGGAGCCTGCAAGGAACCCTGGGGGTGGGGGAGATCCTGGCTTGGCTGCCTCAATGCTACCAAAAAGAAGGGGGGTACCCGAGGTTTTGTAAAACCAAGTGTAGGACCAAAGCACATCCGCGGGGACCGGGACCGCCCCTGCCATCCCAGCTCAAGTTCAAGGACACCCAAAGCGGGACGACTGGGGCACACAGTGTCCCTCCCACCTGCCCACTACTGAGGCTAGTGCCCACCGGTACCTTAGCCCAGGGGTCTGCCCTCGTGTTACTCTCCAAAGCTTTTCATCCTCTGCCCACTCCCGGGCAGAAGCAGCTGAGGGCCTGGGAGCTCATGCTCGTTCCTGCATCCCTTCAGCCAAGCTCAGAGGGGTAAGAGACAGGTCAGAGCTCCTGAGACTCACCCAGCCTCAAAGTCCAGACCCTATTCCCACCAGGGTTAGCTATAGCCCCTGCTGAGTGGAAAACATCCTCCCTGAGACACAGCGGGCAGGTGAAGGACGAGGGCTGAGAATGGGTGGGCCTGGAGGGGCTAATTTATCCAGCTTGTTCAAGATGACCACATCATTTAGGGCCTCCAGAACCTAGTGAGAAAGCCTCTTCCTGGGTCCAGTCCTAGAACAGCGATGAGCCTTATAGAAAAGATGCACAGGAAGGCAGGAGCCGGAGCAGGTAGGGCGTTTGCCTTGCATGCAGCCGACCCACGTTCCGTCTCCAGCATCCTATACAGTCCCAAGCACCGTACAGAGCCAAGAGTAACCCTCTGAGCGTTGCTAGGTGTAGCCCCCCAAAAACAACAACAACAACAACAAAAAGATGAATAGGGTAGGCCCTGCCCAGGCATCACCATCCAGTGACGCAATGAAGACCACAGGCTGGGTCACCAAGAACTCTGGGCCCAGCCACTCTGCTGGAACAGCCCAGGAGGTAGGGAAGCCGAGTAGGAAAGAAGGGAAGGTTCGTTCATGCTTTTTTTTTTTCTGTCACACTCAGCGATGCACAGAGGTTACTCCTGGCTCTGCACTCAGGATTATCTCTGGTGGTGCTCAGGGGACTATATGGGATGCTGGGAATCGAACCCGGGTTGGCCGCAGACAAGGCAAACGCCCTACCCACTGTGCTATTGCTCCAGCCCCAGGTTCCTTCTTTCTTGGTGTGGGTGACCAGGGGCCCTCCCACTGATTTCTCGGCAAACCAGGTGAAAGGTGCACTGCAGTTCGGGTCCTGCAGTACCGGGGGTTACTCAGAACGTCTTCCAGGACCACCCCAGTGGCGCTCAGGGATCAAACCAGGACCGGCGCATGCAAGGCAAGCACCTCCATCCTGGGGCTATCTCTAGCCCTGGAAGTTGAGTGTTCTTTAGTTGAACGTTCTTTTGAGTCAAGGGAAACAGTTTCTCTGCCAGGCTGGTAAGGCTAGCCCAAGCAGTGGGATGGGGTTGACCAGGCTTCTCCTCAGAACAGTGCCGGCCAGAAGGGGCCCGGTGGGGTACGCCTCCCACTTTTCCTCCTTCCTTCTGGCGACACAGTTTCTCCTCCCTCCCAGCTTTCATCTCCTTTCCAGTTCTGCCTTCTAGCCCACCCACAGCCCACCTGTCACGCCTCTCAAACCCAGACCGTCATCCCTGGCCTGGTCCTTTGCACCTGGGAGCCAACGGGGTCCAGGAGGAGGAGCACCTACCTCCGAGGCAGTGACCGGAGCTTGGCCGATGCCCCTCTTGACCGAGTGCCAGGAGCGGGCCGTCAGCATGCAGGCGAAGAGCGGGTAGAGGTCACCGGCGCCCAGGCGCTGGCTGTACTCCTTCACCCCCTTCATGTCCCTCCAGATGAGCGCCTGCCATAGGTGGCAGTAATCGAGGCGGAACTCCTCGGAGAGCACCTAGGACGGGCGGCCACAGCACCACTGAGCCTCCTCTCCAAAGGGAAGGCCCGGCCCAGGGTGCGGCTGGGGGGTTCCTGCACAGCCGACCTGGGAGGGCCAAGTTCAAGCCACTCACCGGTCAGCCTGAGGCCCGAGGTGCAGAGGTCACCCAGCTGCCCACCAACATCTCCCGTGGCCTCTCCCCATCCAGACCCTTTCCAGGCCTCCCTCCTCACGCGATGCAGCCCTTGGTCCACTCTCAGGCTGGCCCAAGATGTATGCTCCCAGCCCCCACCAGAGCTGGCAGAGGGCGCGACTCTTCCCCCCCACCCAGAGGGGTCAGAGAACAGAACCTGGTCAGCCCCCAGCCTATGGACTCTGGGTCCACCTTCTACCTGAGAACTCAGACTGTGCCAGAGTCTCGGCCACTGTCCCCCCTGGGGTGCTGCAGACGACAGCAGTGAGCCGACCTTCCAGTTCACTGAGGTGCCCAAGGGAAGCCGAGGTTTGGGGGCGTGGGGTCAGAGAGCTGAGAAGGGGCCACTGTGGAAACCTCAGGAGGGGAGGTCCTGCAGCCCGGGTGCCTATGTCTGCAACCCGTGGGGGAGTTGCACGGCTCTGTGCCCAGCAGGATCCGACCCCGGGGCTGGCTCCCGGGAAAGGCCTCTCCTACCTGGTAGAGTCCGTGGTCCAGCAGGACCACTTCGGCCTTCCCCGTGTCGGGGCACTTCCGCACCAGCACGTTGCCCGGGTGGGGGTCGCAGTGCACAAAGCCGTTGACGAAGATCATCTCGCTGTAGATCCTGCCCAGGTGCCGTGAGATCTGTAGGGCCAAGAGGTGCCTGTGAGGTCTGGTGTGGAGACTGGGGCTCTGGGGACTCCAGCGGGAAGGCTCAAGGGACCAGGGGTCATGGCCTGAGATGTTCAGCCCCCACTCCAACCCCGTGCTCTATCTTTCCTTTCTGAGGGAGCATGGCCTGTGGTGCTCAGGGATTACTCTTGGTATGGTGCTCAGGGGACCATGTGATGCTGGGAATTTTTTTTTCCTCTGCTTTTTGGATCACACCTGGCGATGTGCAGGGGTTACTCCTGGCTCTGCACTCAGGAGTTACTCCTGGCAGTGCTCAAGGGACCATATGGGATGCTGGAAATCGAACCCGGGTTGGCCACATGCAAGGCAAATGCCCTACCTGCTGTACTATAGCTCTGGTCCCCAATTCTGGGGGTTTTTAAATCAGGATTCTGCCCAGCGCAGATGCCCCAACCCCATGAGGCGTCTTCTCAGCCCTCTCATCCGGTCTTCAGGGATTCTGATTTTTTCATTTGGAGGTTTTATGTTTTCAGGCTCAGGGAACCATGTATGGTGCTGGGTATCACACCGGGGAGAGCTGCACGCAAGGCAACAGCCTTAGCCACTCATCTTACCTGGTTCTTAATCTGAGCTGCAGGTGAGAGTCACCTGGGACTCAGGTGAGGCGGGACCCAGGTGTCCTGAGGTGGTTTTACTCCCACACAGGAGGCTGGGACCAGCTCAGCCACCAGCTTTCCCCAACCCTTCCCCCACTTCTCGCTCCTAGTTTCTTTATGGCTCCCTCTTGGGTCCCTGCCCCCCCCCAAAGCAGATGATGAGCTGGAAAGCAGAGGTGGCAGTAGGGATCCCACAGCCCACCCCAAGGAGGCCCCTGCAGCTCCAGACCAGTCCTGGGGGGGGTACACAAGAGTCACAGTCCTTTCTCCTGGCCCTGCAGGCCGGCCACTATCCCGACTCCCGGCCTGCCAGCGCCCAGTACTAATCTGATTTATGATGTCTGCGCGGAGAAATGACACTGGAGAGGCCGCTTAAATCACCCTGTCAGGGAGCCTCTCCCCGTCTTATCGCGCCTGTTTATTAAAGCTAAACGCCTCTGCCTGGCTCGGGTGCAGCTGCTGCAGCACAGACCTTGGACTGTCAAAGGGAGGCTTCCGGGGGACAGCGGACACCCCAGGACACACTCTCCCCTCAGCCTTCCCCCCAGCACAGCAGCAGAGCTGCCCCCCGGGGGGTCAGGTGCAGGGCTCCTGGGGTGGGGAACACAGAATTGGGACCTGGAGAGAAAGCTCCAACTCCAGGGGCTAGAGAGAGGGTCCAGCAGGCAGGGCGCTTGCTTTGCATGGGACCAACCCATCGAGTCTGATCCCTGACACCCCACCAACCCCAGGCCAGAAGAGATTCCATTATTCCCGGCAGGGGACCATATGGGATGCCTGGGTAGGCCGCGTGCAAGGCAAACGCCCTATCCACTGTGCTATCACTCCAGCCCAGCCAGGAGAGATTCTTCAGCCAGAGTCCGGAGTAAACCCTGAGCATCGCCGGGGGTCGCACAAAAAGCAAACAAAAACACCCAACTCTAGGGGCTGGAGCTATAGCACAGCGGGTAGGGTGTTTGCCTTGCACGCAGCTGACCCAGGTTCGATTCCCAGCATCCCATATGGTCCTCCCGAGAATTGCCAGGAGTAAGTCCTGAGTGAAGAGCCAGGAGTAATCCCTGTGCATCACCGGGTGTGACCCAAAAAGCAAAAATAAATTAAAAAAAAATAAAAAACAAAAAACCTAACTCATTTCTGGGGACTGGGGATAAGGTGCTGGCCTTGCCTGCTACAGGCCCTGGTTCAATTCCCAGCCTCACATATGGCCCCCCAAACACAGGGCTAGGAGTAGCCCTTGAGCACGCCTGGGTATAATCTCAAATCAAACAAACAAATCAATTCCTTCCTGCGTGCCCCTGCAGGGCTGGGCCCCAGCCTGGAGAGGCGCTGGTTCCCACCGGTGCTAACTCTCAACCCGTCTACCCCTCTGGACCCCCACCTGCACCCTTCATTGAGGCCTCCTGGTCAATCATCAGTAGGCAACGGAATTCCTAATCCCAGCTCCGAGAGCGGGTCCAACTCGGATGCCCACTGTACAGAGGAGGAAGCGGGACTCGAGGAGGTTAACCTGCTTGGAGCGGTCTGTTGGGAAGGGATGGAGGCAGGATTCGGACCCCGTGTGCCCCCTACAGCCGCTCTCCTCTGCTCTGCCCACGGCAGTGCCTCTGTGGTAGCTGATGGGCCCAGCTCCAAAGACAAGAACTAACGCCAGGGACATGCTTAAGGGACCGAGGGTAGGCACGGGTCACAACTCTTCCAATAGGCCACAGAGATTCTGCTGCACCTGGCAAAGAGGCGAAGACACAGGGGCCAGGGCGGGGATAGGGGGGTGGGGGAGCTGTGGAAACCTGTGTTCCTCAACCCTCTCACGCCGGCTGTCCGGCACCTATGGTTAAAGAATGCTGTCCCTGGGGCTGGAGCAATAGCACTGCGGGTAGGGCATTTGCCTTGCATGCAGCCAACCTGGGTTCGATTCTCAGCATCCCATATGGTCCCCGCAGCACCGCCAGGAGTGACTCCTGAGTGCATGAGCCAGGAGGAACCCCTGTGCATCGCCAGGTGTGGCCCAAAAAAAAAAAAAAAGCTGTCCGTGCTCCACTCCACTCTTGCCTCTGGGAAACAGTGCTCAGCGTCAGCATGAGGAGCCCGTGTCCAGCTCTGATTCAGGCGGGGAGGTCCAGGGTCCCCACTGTTTCCCATTTCCTTGGACAGGGTCCCCGACGGGAGCTATTTCTGAGTGAGCCAGCAAGTCCTCATCCCTGTGCCACCACGAACCCCTTTCATGAGGTTCCCGGGTGCTCCCAGGGTTGGGGGGAGGGGGAGGATGGGCAATGCTCCGCAGACCGGTGTTTGCCCAGCCAATTGCCTTTATTAAGCAATAACTCATTGTTATTTGTCAAGGAGGCTTATCGGGGCCAATCAGGGTCCCCCCGATCGGCCTACGATAAGCAGAGCGGCCAGACAGAGCCGACAGAATTCCAGGCCGAAGCAGAGAAATGACATTTCATTTAGTCTGGGCAGACCTGTCAGGGGGAGATGGATGGTCTCCTGGAAGCTTTCTGAAATATTGCTGATTGCTCTGGGCCCCCGTGACTCCGCTGAAAGATGGCCCCCCGGGGGCCCGGGCACTCGGGACAGGGGAGCCCTTGCCCACGGAAGCGAGCAGCTGCCGTCAGAAGAGGAAGGTGGAGGTGGCGGTGCTGCCCACAACCAGACAGAGACTTCAGCAAAGCCACGAGCAAGCTCTCAGTTCCCCGGCCTGCTGCCCCTCCTTGGGGGTCCTGGCAGCTGGGGACTCTCCTGTCACCAGCCTTAACTAGATTTCACCCTGACAGGTAAGGGAGGCAGAGATAGGAGAGAGAAGCAGCCTCTGCCACCAGTTCTGGACGGGTACTACCTGGTACTGCCACATGGAGTAAGACAAGGCAGATGACAGGTACCCACTTGCCTCTGCCCGGTTCTAAGTTCCTTCTGCTGTCGAGGACAATCCCCACCCACTCGTCTTTCTCACAGAGCCACATCACAGAGACTCAAGGGCAGAAAGGAATCCCCCTGTGGCAAGTTCTTATGCATCAGACAAGACCCACAGATGTGGTCAGTGACTGTACGTGCCATGGTTGCTCACGGCATCATGTGCCTCTTTCCCACACTTCTGGGGAATACTCCTGTTATCACCGTCAAAGGAAAGTGTTAGCAAAGTTAAACGCACAATCCTCAAGCCAGTATAGAATGGTCACACATCAAAAACTGTCAAAACCATCAGTGGAGGAGCAAGAGAAAAAAAGGGTGGGCTGGCTCAAAGGGAACTTTCAATTTTTGAGGGGCAGCATATATACGATATTTAAAAAAAAAAAAAGATTCCTGGATTAGCGGGCCAGAGCAATAGTACAGCAGGTAGGGCAGTTTTGCTTTCACATGGCTGACTCAGGTTTCATCCCCAGCATCCCATTCGTTCCTCCGAGCATCACTAGGAGTAATTTCTGAGTGCAGAGCCAGGAGTAACCCCTGAGCATCACCTGGTGTGACCCAAAAATTTTTTTAAAAAAAATCCTGGATTAAATACCAAACTGACTGTTGTGATGACTGGTTAAAGAAACATTGGTACGTCTACACAATGGAATACTATGCAGCTATCAGGAGAGATGAAGTCATGAACTTTTCTTAAAAATGGATAGACATGGAGAGTATCATGCTCAACGAAATGAGTCAGAAAGAGAGAGACAGACATAGAAGGACTGCACTCATTTGTGGAATATAAAACAACAAACCATGAGGCTGACACCTAAGGATAGTAGTTATACAGGACAGATAGATTACTCTATAACTGGAAGCCTGCCTCATGAGCAAAGGTGAAAAGGCATCTGGAATAGAGAAGGGATCACTAAGAAAAAGATGGCTGGAGGAATCGGTCGGGATGGGAGATGTGTGCAGAAAGTGGATAAAGGACCAAACATGATAACCTCTCAGGGTCTGTATTGCAAACCATAATGCCCAAAAGTAGAGAGAGATTATGGGCAATCATGTCTGCCATGGAGGCAGGAGGAGGGTGGGAAGGGGGGGGCAGTTACCGGGGATATTGGTGGTGGGGAATGTGCACTGGTGGAGGGGTGTGTGTTTGATCATTGTGTGATTGTAATTCAAACATGAAAGCTTGTAACTATCTCACGGTGATTCAATAAAATTTAAAAAAAAAACTGACTGTTGACTGCTGTCCTACGGGGCCAGAAGGAAAGCATAACCATAGGGTTATTTTTCCCTCTGGGAAGAAACTATTTGCCTGCCAGATGAGATGTACAGGCTGACCCATGATATACCTGTGTTAATGACAAAATCCAAGAAAAGTGCATTTCCCCAGATGCTGACACATCCTCAGTGGGCCCAGCCCAACAGTGCCCAAAGAGGGCTTTGAAAGGGCAC